AGGGAGGAGAGAGGAGGGAGGTAGGATGGAGGACGGAGGACGGAGGGAGAGGACAGGACAGGACAGGCGCGGATGTCACATGGGGGAGGAGGAGGAGGATGAGGAGGCGGAGGAGGAGGACAGAGGAGGACGGAGAAGGACGGAGGAGGACAGAGGAGGAAGACGGAGGAGCAGGAGGGCAGGACAGGACGGGTCCAAGAAACTCGCCGACGCTACTGCCCTGCCTGGGCCGCCGGAGGATTCCCAAGGGGCCTGGGAAGACCCCTGCGGGAGGAGCAGCAGGAGAAACAGGAGCAGCAGCGGGAACGAGGCAGAGGAGCGAGGGTGGTGATGGTGCCCACTACATGTAGGAAAACAAATCCCGAGCACAGCATGACGCACCACGACGCCGACGATGGCGACGAAGGCGACGAACACGACGACGACGACGACGACGACGACGACGACGACGACGACGACGACAACAACGGATCGGGGAAAGGGCCCAACCTGCAAAATTTCCTTACACAACACATTGTTACGCACGCGCCGTTGGGCTCCTTGCGCGGTCCACACGGCCACCATGTTGCTTGGCCCGAAAAGCGTCCGTCAACTTACAAATCGCGAGCGCCTGGGCACGCGCGATTGACATGCGCACGCGCTTCAGTTGCACGCCCTAAAGCTGGAAACGCACGTGCACCGTAAAGCGCAAATGGACCGCCAAAAAGTCTTTCACTCACTCACACACACACACATTTTAAGTCGGCGGCGCAGAGGGTCCTCAAGCGCGGGCAGCAGATGGAAGTGCCAATTGCGATCAAGCATCGTCGACAGCACAGTGTGCGAAGCGTCGCACACTGAAGAGTGCAACAGTGGGTGGTGCAAAAGAAGAAACACCAACAGACGCACGCACGCACACACACTGACTACGTCCACGGCAACGCAGAAGGACTGCGCTGGCGGATAGGACGTTGGTAACACACACACACACACACACACACACGCACACACACACACACACACACACACACACGCTGAAAAATAATACGCCGGCCAGAACAACGCTGCCCCTGAAGGGCACAGCTGCCGCCCGCGACGCAGACCGCCCTCCCTCCGCTGGCCCTCGGCCTCCACCAGCCAAAGTAGCGCTGCCCCCGGAGGGCGCACAGCTGCCGCCCCGCGGCGAAACCCGCCCTCCCTCCGCTGGTCCTCGGCCTCCGCCTGCGGCCTGTCGTCCAGGCCGGCCGCCCCCGCCCCCCCCCCCGCCAGGTCGGTTCCGGGGCGACCTTGCGGCGCGCTCCGGACAAGGCGACGACGACGACGACGACGACGACGACGACGACGACGACGACGACGACGACGACAATAACGACGACGACGACGACGACGACGACGGCGAATACGACCACAAAAACGACGACGGCGACGACCACGACGACGACGACGACGACGACGACGACGACGACGACGACGACGACGACGACCACGACCACGACCACGACCGCGACCACGACGACGGCGGCGAGGACGACGACCACGACGACGACAAAAACGGCGAAAACTACGGAATCGACGAAAGCGACGAAAACGGAGAAAACTACGACAAAGACCACAACGACGGCTGCGGCACCGACGACGACGACCAGCGATCAAGACGGCGACGACGACGACGACGACGACGACGACGACGACGACGACGACGACGACGACGACGACGACGGCAGCGGCGGCGGTGGCGGCGGCGGTGGCGGCGGTGGAAGGTGACGGCGCCAGCCCAGAGCAAACAACGACTAACAAATACTGCGCAAGACACACACACACACACACACACACACACGCGCGCTCACCACGCGTTTTGCTTCCAGGTTTCTGATCTGGGAGATTCCGTACGCGCGTGCTCCTTGCCGCCTGATCCTGAAAAGGGCACCTGGGCCGACATGCTACTAGCTGATGCAATGACGACTCTAGGGAACCAGATCGGAAGATAGCCAGATTCGGCAAGAGGGAAACACGATGAGGTTCGGGGCTGCGCACAGACAGCCCCCAAATATACTCCCGCCTGGCCCCAACGGGCCACCCGAATAGTCAGAGGCGTTGCTGGAGGCGGCGCCTGGGTGGTGAGACCGGCCCGGACTACCCAGGGGGCCTGTCGAGGCAAGGCGAAACCACCTCGGGGTGCTGTTTGTGTGCACCACGGAAACAGCCCCCGAACGAAGGGAGCCAACGACCACTTTGAATCCAAAGGTTAAGTCGGACGCGTCACCTTATGGGCGCATGTTGGACGAAAAATGAAAAATAGTCCTAAGATGCGATAGTCCTAAAAAAACTCGACAAAATCGCCCCCATACTATGTTGTGACTATTTTTGAACAGTCCTCCCGCAGGCGGACATGCCCCATTGAATCCAAGGGGCGCCACGCAACACTGCTGCTCGAGCCTGGGAGAGGCGAGGGCAAGCTTGAGTCCGAGCAGATCGGGCGCCATGGCTCCAGCTGGACTTGCTCCAACTGGACTCAGCGCCCCCCACGAGGAGGCAAAATCTGTGAAATCAAATCAAAAACGCACATACACACACACCAAAAAAAAGTGGGAGAACAGAGAAGAAGAAGCCCCCCACCAAAAAAAACGCACACTATGGACTCTGTGAATAAAGCGCGCGTAAAACACAGGAGTGCGCGTGCGTGGGTGCGTGTGTGCGTGTGTACGCGCATGTGTGTATATGTGTGTATGTGTGTGCGCGTGTGTGTGTGTGCGTCTGTGTGCGTGCGTGCGTGTGTGTGTGTGTGTGCGTGCGTTTGTGTGTGCGTGTGCGTGTGTGTAAGTGTGTGTGGCAGTGTGTGTACGTGTGTGTGTAAGTGTGTGTGTGTGTGTCAGAGTGTGTGTGTGTATGAGTGTGTGTGTGCGTGCGTCAGTGTGCACGTGTGTGTGCGTGCGTGCGTGTGTGCGTGTGTGTGTGCGTGTGCGTGTGTGCATGTGCGTGCGTGTGCGTGCGTGTGTGCGTATGTGCGCGTGTGCGCGTGTGTGCGCGTGCGTGCGTGTGCGTGTGTGTGCGCGCGTGTGTGCGTGTGTGCGTGTGTGCGTGCGCGTATTTGTGTGCGTGCGCGCGTGCGCGCGCGTGAACGTGCGCGCGCACGTGTGCATGTGTGCGTGTATGTGTGTGTGTGTGTGTGCTGCGGGGGGGGAGGGGGGGGGCGTGCGCGCGCGTGTGCCGCGTGCGGCGCGAGCGTGCGTGAGGTAGGCGATTGGGTGCGTGCGCGCGCTGGCGTGTTTGATTGTGTGGTTGTGTGCGTGCGCGCGTGCGCGCGCGTGAACGTGCGCGCGCACGTGTGCATGTGTGCGTGTATGTGTGTGTGTGTGTGTGCGCGCGCGCGTGCGCGCGCGCGTGCGAGCGTGCGCGCGAGCGTGCGTGCGCGCGCGTGCGCGCGCCGATGCGCGCGTGCGTGGGCGGTTGGGCGCGAGCGCGAGCAGTTCTTGCGCGCGCGCGTGTGCGTGTGCGCGCGCGCGCCGCGCGTGCGCGTGCGTGCCGTGCTGCGCGCGCGTGCGCGTGAGCGTTTATGCCGCGCGCGCGCACGCGTGCGTTTGCGCGCTGCCGCTGGGCGCGGGGGGGGGGGCGGCGTCGAGGGCGCACGCCCAGCCACGCGGGCGCAACTGACCGCGGCCTCCACCAGCGGGGGCCCGCGGGCCGTTCAGAAACCCGAAAGAGGCTGCAATCCCGAAGCCCCAGAGCAGGCAATTCGAATATCACCGACAGCGAGAACATCCGCACCCTCAGCACGCTCTGCCTTGCGCAGACGCGCCCAGAGGCCATCCCAGGGGGCCAGCCGATGACCATTCCTGGGGCAACCTCAGCAGCGGCCAGAGGCGGTCCGCCACGGGGCCGCACCAGCACGCCGCGCGAGGGCCCCCCCAGGGGCTGACAACCTCTCACCATCAAGATCGTCGCAGGGGGATCGACCGCAAAGCCTCCATGACCTCCTCGATCATCTCCTGCTCTGCGGGGGCCACCGCGCCCTCGTCGTTGACGCAAACCGCCGACGCCGCCCCCATGCGGAGGGGGGGGGGTCCCTGGCGACGAACCCAGGCGCAGGGACAGCGCCGCAGTCCACGCCCTGAGGGCTGCCAGGGCCTCCCGAGGGCCGCCATCGCGAGCACCGGGCCCCGTCCCCGTCGACGCGGCGCCCCCTCCCTCGCCGCCGAACCCCGCTCCAGGCGCCTCACGGGACGGGAGAGCGCACGCAGGGCGGGCGTCGCCTGCGGAAGGCCCAACAGCCAGCGGCCGCGGGCGCACCACGGGCGGCTCGTCCGCCCAGGCATCGTCGAGCTCGCTGGCGGCCGCCTCCGCCACGCCCATCTTCTCAGCGCCACCAGGGTCGGCAGCTCGGGCACGCCGGCGGCGCGCGCGGCGGCGCTTCCGCCGAAGTGCGGGGACGCCTCGAGGCGGCAGGCCAGCCGCGGCAGCATCAGCAGGGCCGTCGACAGCGGCGTAGAGGGCGAGGGCAGGCGGCGGTCGAGGGCGAGCTGCGGGGCCGATGCCCAGGTCGGCCTCCAACTGGATGTAGCGCCGCCCGCCAGCAAAGCCGGGCGGCAAAGAGGCAGAGGAGAGTCGCTCGGGGCCCGGGCAGACAGGCGCTCAAGGACCCAAGGCAGAAGGAGGCGACGGCTCACACTTCCCCTCCACATCGCAGGCGACGGGCAGCGCGCGGAAATCGTCACCCGCGGCCGCCCGCGCGGGCCCTGGACAGGCGTCCAGCGCGGCATATGAAGGCCTACATGCCCAGCATCGGCGCCGGCAGCGGCAGCGGCCCCAAGAGCGATGGCCCCCGCTGCGGGCGGGGCCCCAGCGGCGGCCGCGGGGGCGGCCGCAAGGGAGCCCGCGAGAGGCGCGGGACCAAGGGGTCCTCCAGGCCCCGCCAGAGCGGCGGCGAGGCCCGCGGCACCCCGAGCGGCTGCAGGAGCAGGCGGCGCGGGAGCCAGGGCCGCCGCGGGGCCAGGGCCAGCAGCAGCAGCTGCGGGCACGACGGCCTGCACCCCTGCGGCGACGAGCGCGGCGTCGTGCTCGGCCACCATCCTGACGGCGGCGGGGCGCAGCGCCGCGAAGTCGGCCAGCGTGAGCGGGGCCGCGAAGTCGTACACGGGGATACCCCCAGCGGCAGGCGGGGGACGCCCTCCGTGGACACGGCGATACCAGGCACGAATGTCCGTGCTGCCTGGACCTAGCTCCTCCACGTACAGATCATCGTCGGAAATGATGACCACGCAATCAGTAGGGCGGACCACCGACACAGCCACCACAGCACGACCATGCAAAAGCGGTGGCTGCACCGCGTACTCGATGAACAGTTCATCGCCCTCAATCATCGATAGACTCCGCCACAGAGAGGCTGGTGCTGCAGCGGCGGCCGACTCCCGCAGGGCGGCGACCTCGGCGTTGGCCGCGTGCCCTCGGGCGCAGGCGCGGCCACGCTAGGCTGTCGGGCCTCGCGCCGACCGCAGCATCCGCAAGCAGACGCCAGCCAGCGGAGCCCCTCCACGAGCAGCGGGCCCGCGAACGAGAGGAGCACGTGCTGGAGCGTCGACTGCTCAGGCAGCGGGCAGCCAGCCGAGCACTGCAGGAGCAGGGCGGCGCACTCTTCCAGTGAGGGCGGGCGCTGCTCCAGGACGGGCTGGCTCCACGCACGGCGGAGCGGGCGGGAATCAGATGACGCAGGCCTCCGCAGAGGGCGCCTCCGGCTCCAGATCGGCCTCCGCTGCCGGCGGAGGCGGAAGAGGCGGCACAGGACCGCCAGCGAGGCGCTGATGAGCGGTCTGGCCCCAGACAATCCAGGCCAGGAGGAAGCCTAACTTGGCGAGGCTTGCCCCCTCCGGCCGCATCTCGAGAGAAAAGGCTGCAGAGCAGATACATGCGTGTTGCCAACTGTCGCGGAGCACACCACTGGGAATCAGGCGAACGTATCTGGCGACTCTCATTCTGCATTCAGGGTCAAAGTTCGAAGAACGACGATTCTCATCAGCATCATCATCATCACCACCACCACCATTATCATTATCATCAGCACCACCATCAGCAGCAGCATCATCATACCTCTCCTCCTCCTCCTCCTCCTCCTCCTCCTCCTCCTCTCCTCCTCCTCCTCCTACCTCCTCCTCTCCTCATCCTATCCTCATCCTCATCCTCCTCCTCCTCCTCCTCCTCCTCTCCTTACTACTGCTTCTATCCCTTCTCCTCCTCCTCCTCCTCCTTCCTCCTCCTCCTCCTCCTGCTTCTTCTCACCTTCTCCTCCTCCTCCTCTACCTCTCCTCCTACCCTCCTCCTCCCTCTTCCACCCCCTCCCCCTCATCCTTCCTCCTTCCCTCTTCCCTTCCACCTCCGCTCCTCCCTCCCCTTTCCTCCTTCCTCCTCCTGCTCCCCCCACCTTCTCCTGGTAAAACTTAATGGGGAACCCAAGAGCCCCAAACCCCCTCTCCCTTATGGCCCCACCTGCTCCCTCGTCCTTAACCTCCTCCGCCTCCTCCTCCTCATCCTCCTCTTCTTCGTCATCCTTCTCCACCTCCTCCTCCTCATCCTCCATTCCTAGTCCGTATAAATAACTTCTCCCTGTCTCACCCCGAGGCCAGTTTTTTAGCGCTGGCCGGGCGTTTCGCCTGAAACTTCCCCACCATGACTCTGAAGCTTAAAAATTGGCAACAGCTTCACAGATGGAGGGCGGGAGGTTTTCAAAATGTGGCTCTCACCTTAGCGCGGCGCACATATATTTCAAAAATTTGACAGAGTTTCACGGAGTCAGGGCGGGTCGTTTTCAAAATGTGGCTCTCGCCTTAGCGCGGCGCACATTCGCTTTAAACATTCGCAAGAGCTTCACGGATTGAGGGCGGTCGTTTCCAATATCTGGCTCTCGCCTTAGCGCGGCGCACATTCGTTTTAAAATTGGCAAGAGCTTCACGCATTGATGGCGGGTCATGTTCAAAATGTGGCGATGTGGCTCTCGCCTTAGCGCGGCGCACAATCGTTTTCAACATTTGCAAGAGGTTCACGGATTGAGGGCGGTTCCTTTTCAAAATGTGGCTCTCGCCTTAGCGCCGCGCACATTCGTTTAAAAAAGGTTCAAGAGTTTCACGGATTCCGATGATCAACGTACCAGAAATGGTGTTCTGGAAGGGTTCAAGATTATGCGGGTGTAACAGTTAAATTGATTATCTGTGTTGAAGTCCTCGGAATGGCGTTCTAGCACGAGTCACGATCGTCAAGACGCAACAGTCAGGTTGATTCGTGGCGTTGGAATCCCGAGAACAATGTTTTGGCATGCCTCAGGGTCTTCAAACGGATGCCTTCCAACGAGGCAGCTACCTCAAAGGAAATGAACCGTTGTTTGTAGGGGCCTATGAAGAGGGTGCTTGGAGGGAGGGTTTACTCCAACATCGTTGATGATTGTTGGGTTTACACTGGTCCTCCTCCTCCTCCTCCTCCTCCTCCTCCTCCTCCTCCTCCTCCTCCTCCTCCTCCTCCTCCTCCTCCTCCTCCTCCTCCTCCTCCTCCTCCTCCTCCTCCTCCTCTTCCTACTCGCGATCACCATCACCATCGCCAGTACTCTCCCCCTCGTCATCATCACTAACAACAAGGAGCCAACGAACAACAGGGAGCCATCATCCTGCCCACCCTCATCCCCATTCCTTATCCGTCCTCCCTCCTCCGCTAGCAGCCCTCCTCCGTCCTCCTTGGCGGGCCCCGCAGCCTGGACGTGCGGCCCTCTCCGCCGCCTCCTCTGCCGCGCGCGGGCGCGCGGGCTGCTTCCGCGGGCCGCCGCCGCCGCCGCCGCCGCCGTCGACCCGCCGTCAGCTCGTCGCCGCCGGTGCGTCGACGGTCCGCCCGGCGGCGCCGCCGTGGCCAACGCACGCGCTCTCTCGACCTCTAGCTCGCCCAGCTCCGCGCGCCGCGCTCCCCGCGCTGCGCGGCGCACGATTCTCCTCGTCGCGCCCTCGCGCCGTCCCGCCGCCACCTTCTTGGAGAAGGCACGCCGCTCTGGCCGGACAGGCGTCGCGCGAAGCGCGAGTACCCTCGCGCCCCCCGCGGGTGACCCGTAGGAAGAGGAGGAGGAGGAGGAGGAGGAGGAGGAGGAGGAGGAGGAGGAGGAGGAGGAGGAGGAGGAGGAGGAGGAGGAGGCGCGCCCCGGGCGGCCGCTTGGCGCCGCCGCCCCCGAGTCTTGAGCGGCCTCTCGCCGCGGGCCCCCTGTCGAGCACACGGCCGCCGCGCGCGGAGGGCGATCCAGCAGCCTCGGAGAGCATACCCCCCCGCGGTCCTCTCTGTGCCGTGGGCTCGGGCACCCTCGGAGGCCCTCTGCAACGGGCGTCTCTCAGGGGCCCAGGCCCCCGATTGCCACACTTCCTGGGCCGTTCCGCGAGCCCTTCGGGGCTCCCCCCACGCCTGCGGGCCAGCGCGGCGGGGCCCTGGGCGAGGAGGGCGGAGGGAGGGGGTGAGAGCGACTCGGGCCTGAAGATGAACGTTTTCTTATTCGGCGTTTCGACATTGGGCGGAAATGGGGAGAGGGGGGCATGGCTCCGGACCTCTGCTTGATGCGACTGTTTGCAGCAGTGCGCCCTATGGGGGAGACTCCGCACGCTCGAGACAGGCGCCTCCAAAAACAGCCAAGATCTACTCCATGGGGGGGGGAGGGGGGGGCGAGAGCCCGCACGGATCGGCAAAACAATGAATTAGGGGACGAAGCATGACACAAACATGAAAACTCTGAGGTGCGCGCGGATTTCTCGGATCGGCGCTGGATCCCCCTGGCGGCGCCTCTGGCGACGCCCCAGGCGCGCTGCGCGCGCCAGGGAATCCGCGCGCCAGGGAATCCGCTCCGGCGCCCCTGGCGCGCTCCAGCGCCGATCCGAGGAACCCGCGCGGACCTCCGACTTTTTTGTCTATGTCGTTCTTCGTTCCCCTATGAACAAGAAAACGATCACAGGACCCCCAGAGGTGCTCAGATGAGGCCTCCTCCCTCGACCTCCACCTGCCGAGCCTCAGGCGCGACGGGTGCCGTCGCGGCGCGGCCGCGGCGCGGCCGCGGCGCGGCTGCCGAGACCGCCGCGGCGCGGCCACCGCGGTGCGGCCTCGACGGCGGCCGCGGTGCAGCATCTGCCGCCCAGGGATGGTGCGGAAGGTGCAGAGAAAGGAGCTCGAGGGTGGCAGGCTGCGTAGCTGGGAGCGGGAGATAAAGGCGAAGCCAGCACGAGGATAAAATCGGGCGAGGATACAAACCGAGAACCTCTGAGATCTGGCGACTCTGGAGGATGTCTCGGGCGCCGCGGTCTTCTCAGAGCGTTCCCGAGCGCTCTGAGAGCGTTCTGGAACGCGCTGGAACGGATTTTTTCTTCGTCCTAGCCCCGTCCGAGGAGAGCGAGCGACGCAAGCGCACACACTGCAGCCCACCCCCAGCAATTTGTTGGAAGAGGTCTTCGTAGGAACCATGGAAGGCTATAGTAGAAAGCCCGATCAGAGGACATGGAGCCGAATTGGGCTGGTTTCGGCCCAGAGTTAAAGTGGATCCGGCCAGGTTTCGCGGGCTCAAGCTGGAGTGAGCCGGACTGGGCCGGGTTTTCGACCACAGATATGCCAGCGCCGACTCGGAACTCAGCCTCCCAGGAACTGCATCCCAACATTCCTGGATGTGGGGGTGGGGTGCGTGCGCGCACCTCCGCCCCGCCGCGGGCGGCCACCGAGTTTCGCCGAGGGCGCGCTCGAGCCCTCGGCGAAGGTGTGCAAAAGGCGTGGCGCGGATGCCCCCCCGCCGGGTGGGGGGGGGGTAGGCTCGTGCCGTGCCCGCGCGGCGGCGGCCGCCACGCGCGAGCACTCCGGGATGGAGGCCGCCAGTGGCCGGGAAGCGGCGGGCATCGGGCGACCCGGGCTTGCGACAGGGCGGCGAGATCTACGCACGCGTACTCCGAGTTTCTTGATGAGCGTCGGGGGGGTAATTACCCTCCCGATGGGGGTCGACCTCGCCTCGTCGTCGCGCCGCGGCAGTGGTCGGCGCGCCTTCGGCGCGCGGTGGCTGCCCGCGACGGGGGTTGAATGTGGGGCTGTCGGCGGGGGTGACGCCCCCCCGACGCTTATTAAGCAACTCGGAGTATCCACCGCCCAGGAGCGACGTCTGCACCCCCGGCGCTTGGCCCGGAAGGCATAGACACCGCTCCTGGGCCCACGGTGGGCCTGGCGAAGGGGAGGTGGATGCGTGCCTTTCACTCCTCCTCGTCCTCCTCCTCCCCCTCCCTCCTCCTTCGCTCCTTGCCCTGCGAGGAGGAGGAGGAGGGGGGGGGAGGAGGGAGCGGAATTGAGGAAGAGCATATGCTGTGGAAAGAACTACCCATGGAAGAATACCCTGGCCCGGCCAGCCCTCCCGGCCCAACCCTGGCCAACCCTCCCGGCCCACCCCCTCTGGCTAACCTTGAT